TATGCTCCCTAACTATGCTGTGGACTAGCTCTCAGTCTCTCTTGAATTCTCCTTCAGAGTATCCCACCTGATGTCAAATAACTGGTGTATGGAATGTTTTACAGATGGATCAGTGTCAGTGACTCATGCTGGCTGTATATGATTATCTGTCACACAGATGTTTCAGCTTGTGTTTGCTTGCTAGCCAGCCAGCAGCCAGACTCTTATTTTTTTTTTTGCAGGATCACCAACAGATGTTTAACAAAAAGACAGAGAATAGTCTACCAGTCTGAATACATGTAGTTTGCTTCACTGCTCCTGTGGGCAGCATCACCCCCCCCCTGAGAAAAAATGTACTGGTATGATCTGAGAAATTTTCCAGATTCTTCTTTATAAAGAGTCAGATGGTGTTAGTTGCACCAGCAGGGATTCGTCTGCTTTTATGCCACCTGCAGCACTGAAGATGCTTTTGAAGTGATGGATGAATACTAGAACATTACAGAGCATTTTAAGGGGGCTGCTGTTGCCCTCAGTACCAGTATCCAAAAGAGATCTTCCTTATGCCTGAAGGCTTTCATCGTGGACATATTATTCATTAATAAATGTACTAATAGACATAAGCACTGTTCCTGCAAATGCAGCTGCGTAAGTTCAACTTCCATTGCCTGGATCATCTTATCCTATTATGGGGGGGAGGAGGGGAGAGAATGAACAGAACCCAAGTTATCCATATAACACCCACAACTTGTTCATGATCAACAACAGTGCTGTTCCTTTTTGGGCTTTTTTGGCTGCTGCTGGCCCTCATTAGTGTTAATGATTAAAGCCTAGGAAGTTTCAGTTGCATCTCTTTGGTGCTTCCTGATGTTTAGGGGAATCAATCTGACTGATGTATTATAGATGATCTGCACATGGGATCTAAGAATAGGATAGAAGATTATTTTTGATCCATGTTTCTGGAGGTGAAAGACTGCCTAAAAGGGAGGATTTAAAGCATTTATAAAAATCACTAATCCCAAATTTTAGGCACCTGAAAATTATTTAATCATTTTTAAACTATATACTAAATTGCTATTGAATAAATACCTCTACCATAAATCTCCTCTTCCCAATCCACTCATGCCCCATTACGCATTCCCTAGCCTCCCTCCTCCCCCCAAAAAAACCATTGGCAAATGAGTATCATTTCTGGGATCCACTGCACCAAAAGGAAAAATTCCAGAGTAGAGTAACTTTCGCTGACAATTTTATAGCAATCTCTATTAAAGTTCTGTCTGATTTGCAAGTGCTAGGATATCACACAAGGAAAGAGGTATTCTCTAGAATAGCTAAGCTCTCAACTATCTAGGAATTTTTAGTTCAAAATCAGAAGCTTCTCATTTGGAAGCCAGTGAAGATCTGAAAAGTAGTCTACATTTGTCCCCAAAGACATGATTCTGCTACCACAGAAGTTTTCTCTATTCATTAGTCTTGGGTTAGATCCTGTAAACTGTTACTCACTTCACATCAATATACTTGCATGAATGATGACTATTCCCGTGATTAGGCATTTACAGGGTTTAGGCCCTGATGCATATTTTCCAGCAAGTTAGTGCCAAACACACGTTCGTGCATCAGTAACTCCTTCTACACTGCAGCAGATAAATGGCAGTGTTCTCACTGATACCTGTGCTCTATGGTTGCTGCTGAGAAGATTTGCTATAAGTTCAACAAGAAGTTCAGTGTGAGCTGCACAGAGGGGAAGGCCCAGATCCACAGACAGACTTGGGTATTGTGATGGTGAGTGTTGCAAGGGTAATTTTCTGGAACCTAGAAAATTGCAGGAACAACAAAGTAATCCGCAATCTTGAGTTAAGTGCTTGGGGTTCCTTTACAATGAATGAGGAGAGATAGGTACCTAAGAATGCTCTCAACAAAAGCCAGCATCTTAGACACATAGCCATCTAGCCTAGCCAAGGAGAGATAGAAACCCTGACTCTCTCATGGAGATAGGCACCTTTGTCTGAGCCGCTGAGGGGCATTAATTTCTGCTCCAATTACTCTTTATTTATACAAAGTGGAACAGCTTCAACAGGAGAGACTTAGGGAGTCCTCCCACCTCCCCCATCACAATATCCCATAGCTTAGTGGTTGGGGTATTCAGCTAAGAGGCAGGAGATCCCTATTCAAATTCTTTTTCCCCAGCATGCAGAGGAAGGAACTTAACCTGGGTCTCCCATATCCCAGGTGACCACTCTAACTACTGGATTAAAAGTTATTAGATAGGCGCCTGCTCACTGCCCATCCACCAGGTTTGAATGGGGTCTAGTCCAGTAGGCAGTCTCTGGGAATGCCTACTGGATTGGGCCCATTAGGGGCCAGAGCACCTGTCTTTTTGTACTTCATGGATTCCACCAAAGCTTTGGCAGAAGATAGGAATATGCCCAGAGTGGGGTAGCAGCGTGCATACTCAGAGCAGAAACAGACACTAAGGGTGCATCTACACAGCAGGGCTTACCTCGAAATAAGCTATGCAATTTGAGCTATGTCAGTTGTGTAGCTTATTCTGAATAGCTTATTTCAACATTGGGAGCATCTACACAGCACTTATTTTGAAATAGAGCACTCTTCCTCCAACTTCCCTTACTCCTTATACAAGGAGGGTTACAGAAGTCGGAGTAAGAAGTCCTCGGCTGTGTCTAGACTGGCAAGTTTTTCCGCAAAATCAGATGATTTTGCGGAAAAACTTGCCAGCTGTCTACACTGGCCGGTTGAATTTGTGCAAGAGCACTGACTTTGTGATGTACAAAATCAGTGCTTCTTGCGCAAATACTTTCACACTCTCGCTCGGGAAAAAGCCCCCTTGCGCAAGAGGGCCAGTGTAGAAGAATTGTTTTGCGCAAAAAAGCCCCGATGACTAAAATGGCGATCGGGGCTTTCTTGCGCAAAATCGTT